GTTAAATGTAATATGATTCATGGCCCTTGTGGCTGTTTTAATCGAAATTCACCATGTATGAAAGATAACGCGTGCAGTAAACATTACCCCAAGAATCTCATTAAGGAAACTCAAACTGGTGATGACGGTTATCCGAAGTACAAGAGACGTTCAACCGATGACGGTGGATTTTTCGTCAATATCAAAKGCGTAGATATAGATAATCGTTGGATAGTTCCTTATAATCCAGTACTGTTAAGACCGTGTAACGCTCACGTCAATGTGAAATATAGCAGTTCGGTGAAGTTCATAAAATATGTGTGCAAATACGTAAATAAGGGCTCTGACCAGGCATCATTTGTCTTAGAAAATGAGAAAGACGAAATAAAAACTTACGAAAGTGGACGATATATAAGTCCATCAGAAGCCGTGTGGCAAATCCTTGAATTTCCAATTCACGAGCATTTCCCTACCGTTGTTCACCTTGCTGTCCATTTAGAAAATGGACAAAGGGTTTACTTTAATGAACAAAACCTACATGACAGAGTGAATAGTCCTCCTACAACTACAATTCGCTCATTTTTTGATTTGTGTAAAGTGGATGACTTTGCAAGAAATTTGCTTTACCCAGAAGTACCTGCATATTACGTTTGGGACAAAAAAAAGTTCCAAAGAAGGAAGAGAGGAGTAAACGCTGTTGGCTGGCCAGATATCAAAAGAGAGCACGGTCTGGGTAGAGTTTATACGGTTCATCCGAACAATACAGAATGTCATCACCTTCGTATGCTTCTCCATGAAATCCGGGGCCCGATTTCGTTTGAAGCGTTGAAAACTGTAAATGGTTAAGTACATCCCACTTTTAAATCCACGTGTAAGGCTCTAATGTTACTTGAAGATGATGAACATTTGTACGCAGCACTAGAAGAGGCAGCACTTTGCCAATCTCCGCATATGATACGGGATCTATTTACGATTATATTAGTGTTTTGCCAAGTAACAGATCCCTTATGTCTTTGGGACAAATTCAAAGAATACCTATGTGTAGAATGTAGATTTTAAAATACGATTAGAATGACAGGATTCCGTGGATGCAGAAAACTTAGCGGACGTAGTGTTGAACAAATGCTTATCGATAATAGAAGATGCTGTGTTAGCATTAGGTGGTCAGCCACTTAAAGAATATGGCTTACCTCAGCCAAGCAACTCTGAACATTTCGACTTAGTAGCCTTAGAAGACGTCGTAAGAAACAATGAAGAATCTCTGAATGACGAACAAAAGTTTGCTTACAATCACATTATTACAAGTGTTAATAATAATGAGGGTCGAATATACTTTTTAGATTCTCCAGGTGGAACTGGAAAAACTTTCTTAATCAATTTGATTTTAGCGAAAGTTAGAAGTACTCGCGACATTGCCTTAGCTGTAGCATCTTCTGGAATCGCAGCTACACTGCTCGAGGGTGGTCTAACGGCCCATGCTACCTTCAAATTACCACTCAATCTAACAACTTCGGTTACTCCCTTTTGTAATATATCAAAACAAAGTAATTTTGCGGAAGTTTTAAAAGATACAAAATTAATAGTGTGGGACGAAATTACAATGGCGCATAAGGGTGGTGTTGAGGCTTTAAATAGATCTCTAAAGRATATAAGGGGAAATAAAAGGTTAATGGGTGGTGTAACGGTTTTACTGGTTGGAGACTTTAGGCAGACTCTACCAGTAGTACCAAAAGGAACCAGAACTGATGAAGTCAAGTCATGTCTTAAAAGATCTATTTTATGGTCTAAGATTAATATACTCAAACTGTTAAAAAATATGAGGGTAAACTTGGAAGAGGAAAAGTTTGCTGGTGGATTTGCAGATCTTTTACTTGAAATTGGCAATGGTGATTATCCATCGWTTGATAAAATGATAACTATCCCAGAAAATTTGTGCACAGTTGTAACTACGGTTCAGGATTTAATATCAAAAATGTATCCAGATATTGCTCATATTCATGATAAGCCTATGGAATGGTTGTATGAACGTGCTATACTCACTGATGTCTTTTGAAGGGGAAGAAAAACTATATACTTCGATAGATACGGTGGTCAACGTGGACGATGCAACTAATTATCCGGTTGAATTTTTTAATTCATTGAAACCACCGGGAATGCCATATCATAGGCTTATTCTGCGTCTGGGCACACCTATTATGTTGTTGCGAAATTTGAAACCGCCTAAACTGTGCAATGGGACCAGGCTTAAAGTCAAAGCTTTACATCGCAATATAGTAGAAGTCACAATTTTAACAGGATGTGCAAAAGAGGAAACTGTGTTTGTACCACGAATCCCTTTAATTCCGAATGATCATCCGTTCGAATTTAAACGATTAAAGTTTCCCCTGAAAGTCAGTTTTGCAATGACTATAAACAATTCTCAAGGCCAAACTCTTAAATTTGCAGGAATAGATTTGCGAGAAAACTGTTTTTCACATGGGCAGTTCTACGTAGCTTGCTCACGCATAAGCTCACCCAATAGCTTGGTGATTTTGTCGCCTACTAATAGATCAGTGAAGAACATTGTCTTCAAAGAAGTTTTGTAGATAAATTTGTTTATTTAAGAGTTTTGTAGATTGAAAAACTATTAGTAAAACATTTATTTTGAACCTTTAGTGCTAAAATTTATCGTGAACAAAGCTTCTGCCGCCAAAACCTATAACTTATAGAATAGGTTATGATAATAATCATATGTATAAAATATTATTTCAAAAATCTTAATCAATTTAAATTTCAATAGATTTAACAAAATTTAATCTTGGCAGGTTACATACATGTATATACTTAAATCCGGCAAC